TAATGTTGATGGTGAAAAGAGTGGTTTGGTACATTTTTATAGAGCGTATATTTTTCATAATCCTTAGGACCACTGTTCTTTACTGTGTAATTATGCTTTAAATTCTTAAATGCATAAACATCTATCTGATTAAAATGTAAAAGAAAGGCATTATATATAATAAGGGCCTGATTTCTAGAGTTTGGAATAATGTGTATGATTTCTGTGCAGTGTGGTAAGATCACTACTGTAGCTGCTCATGTAGTAACATTTTAATCAGAGATAAATGTTTTCTATCTGTCACTTCTGTTTATTCCTCTCAAGGACAGAAATCATTCTGACAAAGGATTCTTAAGTGTTCTATTTGCTATTTGTCACTCTGTTTGTCTACTTGACTTAATACTTGTCCATCTAGCTTCCTTTTCCCTTCTTACTCTTGTTTTTCCTTACTGCCTGCTCCTTTTTAACTGTTCTTTGTTTAGGGTTTTGCTTGTGCTGTCATGAAATTGTGCTTTCATGACAGCACAGTTTCTCAAAAACATAACATTTCTTTCTTTTGTTGTATTCCTGGCATGCTGTCCGCATGTGTATAAGGAGCATGTTCACACACTGAGCATGTTCACACACGCACTCCATACTGATTTAATGACCCAAACTTGAGGGGTTTTTTTTGTTTTTTTTTTCCAGTGTTATAGGAAAATGTATATTCATTTAACATATATTGTTGTTTTGTAAAGCCAAAGTCTTTATCTCTCTGCCAGGAGCAGAGAGATGTTCTTTTTTAAAGCTTCAGTCTTGTATAATCGTTCTTTCTGTTTGCTATGCAGAGCACCACAAGTCTCTCATTCAAAGTTTGGAGTGGAGTGGCCTGCTCTGCTCCTATGTAGTTGGCAGTGATAGCTGTGCCTGGCTGCCTGTTTGGCTGATAGTCTCATCATGTCTCCCCCCTTTGCAGAAGCTTGTCAACCAGCTCCTGTTCTGTCTGTCCAGAAGCAAATAAACACTTTGTGTGTTTTGTTTCTGTTTGAACACTGTTTCATTTTAGCTCACTGGTACAGCAAGGAATATAGAGTCCCACTCCTCAGATAAATGCTGGTATGTCTACGACTACTTTGAAGACCTGTGAGGAAGTCATAGAATTGTTTACCAATTCTGTCAAAAGATTTTCATCCTTCCAGGCATTTGTTCATCCATTTTTTTTCATTTGTTAATTTGTCTGTTCATCCATCCATTTATCCCTTCATCCACCCACTTGTTGGCCCACTTTTTATTTTGTCTGTCCATCCTTCCTTTCCTTTACCTTGTGTTGTTTTCATTCCTGTCTCTGTTCCTTGTTTCCTTCCTTTTTCCTTCATTTCTATAGAAACAATTGCATGGATGGTTGTCATGGACTCATACAAAACCTATTTGTGTCTTTAAATTGTGAAAATCACCAAGGCCCAAAAAACTCAGAATTATTAAACAGAACATTTTGGGACTCTTAAAAATCCCTAAAGCACCAGTTAAGTTTCCATTGATCTTCCTTCCTCAAAAGTCTGAGGTGACATTGGATATTATATTTAAGTTGTTTTTCTGAGCCTCTGGATTTAGATTAGTTTCTAATCTGTCTATAAATCAGCAGAGTGAAAGCTGTGAAGTTGGGTCATCTTTTGAAAAAACTATATATTGAACAAACTGTTTGCAGTTTTGATGAGCATTTTATGCAGGTTGAAGGATGGCTCATGCAAAGCCATTAGCACTTGTTACTACTCCTGCTAGTACAGTTTCTTTAAATATAAGTATTCAATAGAAACTATCAAAGAGCCTTATATTTCAGTCTGAAGAAAAAATGTTTTGTGCATTTCTCATTGAACAATTTTAAAAACGCTTTGACATCTTGTATTATGCTTTGGGTTTCACAATACCGTTTTCCTATTTATTTGTAAATCACGTGGTCTTTGTTGAACTTATGTTAATGTGTCCTGGGAATAGCCCGCTATTTATGTTAGTAGTTGACATAGCATCATTCTGAATGGGAATTTTTAAACAGTGTGCACCACATAGTCTTTACTGTCTGCCATTTCACTTCTAAAGTGCTTTCTTATCCGCTTTACTTATAGCAACATCAATAAATAGATGTCATTTTACTTAAACATTGTGAAAACCTACTCCCAAATAAGATCAGCACATATTTCAGGATTTTCTTCATGGAGAGAAAACATTCAAAAAAAGTGAACTCAAGAGGACACTGAAAATTTAAGAACTAAAAAATTAAACACTCATAATAAATAGCCACATTAAAAAGAAATTCCAATATCTCCTTTTGTTTCCTTATACACATTTTTTTTCATTTATTTTTTTCTTGGTAGCAAACATAAATTTACACTAAGTGTGCCAAAAGAAGAAATAAATCAGTAGCTAAAAGATGATTTGAGAGTTTTTACTGATATGCATCGATAGTATTAGATTATGATAATTAGATCATATTTACACTTTCCCAAAACATCATGTGATGTATTCTATCTATTGCGGTTCTATGGTCTTCTTGTATATATTTGTGAATTGTATTTTTATTTATTTTTGTTTCGTGTCACAGCTTTTATTTTTTTCTCTGATCTCAAAAACTTGTGTTCTCTTACCTTACTGCTTTATAGTGATTGCACCAGTGCGATCTGTCTTCCCCTTTTTGGAGGCAAGATGTTTGTCAAAAGTCTTAAAATAGAAGTGCAAATGAGTTGGAGGGATTTGCATTTTCGACTAAACACAGTGACAATCTTTTTTTTTTTGTGAATATTAGCAATATTGCTTAAGATTATCAGAAGGGATGAAAAGTGCATAGCATTTTGCATACTAACGGCTTTTAAGACTCTTTCATATTGTTTTTTTTCTACTGGTGACGGTCACTTGCTTTACTTCCCTTTACCACCGTCTCTGCATCTCTCCTCTACTGTCTTCTGTTCACAGCTCTGAACACAGGTGTATGTGTGTAGGCTACTTCGTCTTCTGGACTGTACAGACTGCTGTTGATTAATTTGGGGAATGCTGCCACATCGTGACTGAAGGCTTGTTTTTCATTCAACCATTAATAAAGCTATCAACATAAAAAAAAATCTCCTGCCTCTCACGTCACATAAACACAATATGTAAAAATCCTTAACAAGAAGTAGTGTTTAAATTGAAAAAGTTACCATGAAACTTTGGCAGAAAACTTGGAATTTTTTTTATTTATTTCTCTCAATATTCTCATTGTTCTACTTTGTTTATTAAACGTAATTTATTATACTTTTCAATTTCAACTTTAGGCTAGTACCAATGTTGTATCTGTTTTGTGATCAGTAGGCATAAATCCTGCCTCACTGGACTGAAGTGTTCTCTTGTCTTTGCCATTTTTAGAAGTGCTTAAAGAATTGAGCTTCTTCTTATGATAGTTACTCCCCCAAATATAGGAAGATAAAAGTTGCCCAACATGCTGATTAACTTGAGAAAGCTGCTTTTTTACTGACCGTGATGTTTCATGGAATACATATCTTTACCAGAGACACTAAGAAGTATGGAGGGCAATGTAGCTGCTTCCTTTTTCTCAGCTCCTCCTGTATAAATTATATAACATAACAATAGTACAAATTGTACAACATAAATCTGCTCATCTGTTATTCTTCTGACTTTGCTTTCATTAAAGCAATGCTGCTTTCAAAACACAACATATGCTTGTGTCCTTGGATGTTGATAAAATTTTGTGTCAGTGCAGTTTGCAAGGGCTTAATTGTCTTGTACTTTGTCAGTAAAGATAAAGACGAAGTAAATGCCCATCTTCTGTAACATCATTGACTTATACAATTCAAATGAAACAGTTAGCTGAAACAGATGTGTTGTTGTAATTTTCAGACAACTACATTTCTGCATTAAATCTCCCCTTAACTCAGAAATAGATCCACCGGTTTTGAATTTGAGCACCATATGCAGATCAAGGACAAGACACCTTATCTATGTAGGTGTGTGCGCATGCTTCAGCTAGAAGAGAATCAAGTTCCTCATCAGAGGTATAGCGTGTAACTGCAGGCGGTATGAGGAAGAAACTGGTTGGTCTGTAGATTATGCGATGAGTTCTCTGCAAGTTAAAGAGAAGGAAGAATGAAAGTAGAGGACTCGGCAGAGACAGAATGGAGGGGGACAACTGGGCCTTCATTCTGGGTAAGAAAGAGGTGGGAGCATCTGAGATCAGTTTTTTAAATAGGGTTTTTCAGTTGATATTAAACTGTTCTACTGTCAAAGGTAGCAGATATAAAGTTGAGAGAAACTGTAATCTAACCTCCTTTTAAGGTGATGCAAATGCAAACTTTAGGTTCTAAGGTTGCTGAAATATAGTTGTTATTAAAAATAATACTTCAGTTAATTTAACTAAAGAAGAAGGGGATTTTTTCAAATACAAAACATATCAAAAAATTTGACATCAAAGTTTTATTATGTATAAATGTTTGTGCAGCACAAACATGTCTTTTTTGTTTAGAAGACATTTAGGATTCATTGCAACCACATTTTTGCACTATATAATTATGGACTTAAAACTTTTTTGTGTTGTCCTTATGTAGATTTTTCTCATTTGAGTTCCTCTAAGTGTGGTTCACTTTTTATTTTTTTTTTTTTTACTATTATGCAATATGCTAATCAGCACATTTTGAGTCTTGTGTTGTATGAATTGTAATGTATTGAACTTTCGACGTGTCCTACCATAGCTTCCTCCATCTATGCCCTTTAACTGTCCTGGCTCAGACGCTGGCTCATTGATTTTCATTTCAAATTAATTTTCCATCCTAAAAGGTTTCCTTAATAATTACAAGGCTGCCGTTCAATCTGTAATGGCCATGGACACATTTATAGTTTTAGCAGGGTTTTTCTTCGCAGCGATGCAGCCAGTCAATAAAGAATACATGATAATATTGCCTTTGATCCCATTGACATGGAGCCGATCCAGACTACCCTTTAAGCCTCCCACGCGAGCCCCCTTTTATTCATGCCTTTGGTTTCTCTTTGTGCTTTTTCAGGATTGAAAAAACGTACCAGGAAGGCCTTCGGGATACGGAAGAAAGAGAAGGACAGTGACTCTACGTAAGTCCACTTTTTGCTTTGCAATGCTCTGAACCTCGTACGAGGAGGAAGCATAGCGATGTGGATGTTAAAATTGATCTTTCATTAATGCATTGATTCATCTGATTGGTTTGTAGTATTTAAATTATTTTACCTGGACTTATTAGCAATTTAGTCAATATTTCAAATAAAGAGAACAAGAAACCTTTCATATTTCTTTCTCTTTTTTTCCCCTTTATGTGAAACAGAGGGTCTCCAGACAGAGATGGTGGTGTAAGTAACAGTCAATATAGTTGCATTTATTTTCAAATCAAGATTTTTTTACAAGCTCAGACTTTCTGAAGGGAGCTGAATCTGGTGAACACTAAATAAATAATTTATTTTTGTGTTGTTTTTGCTTGCCAGGAACCCCAAGAGGTTGAATCGGTACTGAACTCAGCCTTTTAGAATAGACAAGCTTTTAGAGTAGCACTGTGTCTGGATAGAATTTAGTATCAGTAAAAACACTGCAGCTTGTTATTTATTCCATCAGTCTCCCACTGAGCTTTACTCCCTGAGCTATTATTTCATTAACAAGCTGTCAGAATCACATAGTAGATGAAAATCAGTGCAATGTTTGGAGCAAAAATACTTCTGTCTTCATAATTAACCTTTTTTGTTCAAATATGGCTTATAAAAAGCTAAATATTGATGATAGTGTTATTTTAATAACCCAAAGCTTCAGAAAAGTGGAAAAATCTGAAAACAGAATAGTGTCTGAGAAAAAGAATCTAATTGCACAAGAATCCTGCTGAGTTGTTCTTTGCAATAGATACAGTGGATTCTTACATAACTCACTCTTTCTTCAGTGTCTGTAGGGATTTTAATCAAACAGCTTCTGTCTTCTCAGTCTCAGAAGAAGACAAATGGAGCCCCAAATGGCTTCTATGGAGATATCGACTGGGAAAGATATGTAAGTAAAGTTATTTAGTTGAAGTTGAAAAATAACCATCAATAAAAACACATAATTTTGCATTAACATAAATAATTAACAGTAAAACCCCAAAATGATTTAATTGTTTTATGCAAAACAGAATAACAGATATTATTCCTATTGTTATTAATTCATTATATTTATTCTTACAATTATTAGAATGTTTCCTGTAATGTTTGATTTGATCTTGTTGTACAGGATTATCCAGGGCAAAACAGAAGCTCTGCACTTTCACCCCCCCACATTGAAAACGTTTCTGGTTATGGAAGAGAGCAAGAAATCATATGGAGCCTCAAGGCAAAATGAATGTAGAGATGGGTGTGCAGCGGTCTGGCATTAAAGCCAACTACGCCCCTCTTACACATACTTATGTAGAGGACAATTGGTGTTTGGTCTTGCAGATTTGTTCATATTTAGTGGTTTCTATACAGTTTTAATACTCTACATCAGGACCAGCTGACTGGAAGTGTCCGGAACAGGTCGAGGAAATACAAGGCTTCATAATAGGAAGTTTTAGCACTTTGCTGTACTTTGATATCAGTAACTGAGCTATACCTATATTTGCATCAGTCAATGACAAGCATGACTTTTTCAATTTACTGTTTTGCTTCAATGAACAGTATTTGTTACAACTGGAAATCCAGTGTGAACATTTGAGCTGTACTCACATTTATAGGTTTGTACTGATGTACAGTTTGTGTGTTTCAGAACTCACCTGAGTTGGATGATGAAGGCTACAGTATCAGACCTGATGAAGAGTCAGAGGAAGGAGATATCCTAAGCACAACTTGATTTACCAATGCTAGTCAATGACAAAATTCTTTCACATCTCTTTAAACAGATCAGTTGTTTTGTTTTCAAAGAATATATATTGATAAGATCATTAGAAGATTATGTACAACAGTGTCATATTAACAATTGTATTATAGTATTATACCTCAAATCTCTTGTAAAAACCTTTTAACCTTTCTGTGAAACATCACACTAATCAACTGGCATGTCTAGATTAGTATTATATTTTGTAACCTTTCAGGCGATGTTGTTTTTTGTCACCTTTTCAATGTTTCTCATCAGACTGTGCAGAGGAGTGATAGTTGCTTTTAAGTTTGGCAGCAACTGAACAACTAAAGGGACAATTGTTTGAACCTGAAAAGGAAAATATGTTAATTAAGAGCAGACACTGCATCATGAAGTAAAAACAGGGCTTTTGTTTTACCTATAATGAGATACATTTTAAAATGTTCCATATTTTAAATGGGATCCAAGTTAGAGGTCAAATCAGCTGTATTGTTTTACCTTTGGACTTTTTCTTTGACTTTGTACCCTCACCTACCAAAAAGACCCATTTCTTCTCTTCTGATGAATCTGAGGAGGAAGAGGACCACAAGAAGAAATTCAAAATCAAAATCAAACCGCTGCCAGCTGATTGTGTCTTATCGGCTCCTTCGGTTGATGAGCTCAAAGCTTCCATCGGAAACATAGCCCTGTCCCCGTCTCCTATGGTGAGTAACTCCAACGGTTATGCCCTTCTTCTGCTGTCCTTCATTAGCAGACTTGATTTGTGATGCTTTAAGTTATTGTTACATGTGCGTATAGCTCATTCTTGCTTCTTGTCTTTACTAGAGCTAGATGTTTTTATTCACGTCGCAATAAATTAGAATACAATCAAAAATATTGTTGTAGTCAACAGCTCCACTAAAATGTGAAACTCCTCTTATAGTCATTCATTTCATGTGAAGTGAAAATTTTCAAGTGATGTTCTAATCACAATTTTTACAAGTTTCAGAGGAAAGCTAATAATTTTGTTCCTAGCTGTATGTGTATAACATATTGACACATTGTGAATCCTCCCCAAAATAATGACTGAGTCCTCTCAAAACTGTGACAGTGACAGATTATTGTGCAGCAGTTTCAACCAAACCATTTTCTTCCACTCAATATTTCTGTGAGAAGCAAGCTTCTTTCGCAATGACCTATTGATGCTTGCAGAGGGTGTCAGTGACTATCTGCTGGACAAGTGTTGAGTCAACACTCTTTCCCATGACATTACTGCACTAAATGTCCTTTTTTGCTGTTTTTTTTTTTTTATTCTAATTTTAAGAAAAATGGAAGCATTTTTACTAGCTGTAATCTAAAACAGATTAAACAAGGACAAATGAATTCTTCAAATCCACTTCTCTGAGTCAAATTGGTCTAAATGACTCCCACTTTTTATAATAATAACCATACATTTCCATTAGTATTTAAGATATACTTATATTGAAATCATCTTAGAGCCATCTGCTTATCACTAACATATTATTTTAACAATATGTTTACCTTTTCATCAATAATTTAGCAGAGCAAGCGTGCATACTCTTTGGTTTGAATACTGAACTGAAAGCTATGAGTCATTTTGGAAGTTTTGGAATTTATGTAGCTAATGTGTAAGGCTATAATACTTTGTATTTTTTTTTCTTATCATTCTAAAGTAATTTAATGTTGCTCAGAATGACTACATCTTATACCACAAGTTTACAGCTGCCAGGCAGCACAACCTGGCAGCTGAGAACTTAATTATCTTATGCCCATCATGCAGTCTGCAGTATGCAGCGGGGTTCCTCAGGCAGCCCTCAACTTTTTTTATGCCTTTTGGTCTGCAGGCCTCTAGTCCTGTGTTTCCCCAGTCAGGACAGTTAGCTTAGGTGTCTGCTTTAAATTATTCACATAGGAAAGTGGGCACAATGAACTTGTGTTTCAGTCCACAGTACAAGGACATTACCTGTGGTCATTTGAGCTTCTGTCCTCAATAATTTAATCCAGCTTCAGTGGGTTCACCCAGTGGCTTTGTCAACCTTATTAGGTGTGAAGGTCTTTTTATGCTCTTATTGTTTGGGTTCATGTATGGACAGCTTTGAGTAAAACACAAAATAACAAATTTATTAGGATTTTTGTTCAGCTTTCAGTATTTGTAAGTATGCTGCAGGACAGAAAAATACTTTTTGTGGGCATATTGCTTAGCAGCTGCATTGTCTTATTAATGTTTCATTATTAATACTTTAAAAAATGAGGTTCTAAGTGTGCTTGGTTGTGTGACAGGTTTGGTCTTACCACTTGCATATTAACTAAAATTTGACCAAGCTGTTGACCAGAGAAGGGTATCTGCTAATTTTCCCTGGATGGACTTTGAAGGATCAGCAGCTAAAATACTGAAAAATCTGAATTCCTTTCAAAACTAAACTCTCATTATTTTCAAACACATTAAACATTGTGTTTTTTGAAGTTCTTTTCTCAGTTTAAGAATAAACAAATCATATTTAGAAACATGCTCTTTGTGGCATAAATGGCCATATTATTTTATTGTCTTACTTTTAATATTAGATTTATAATCACCACCTTATAAAAGAACGTCTAGTCCTTGTCCACATAAAAAAATCAGAACTTCTAGGTTAGACCCAAAAGAAGTAAAAAAAATCTTTACCAACCAGAAAATGCCCAGTTTATGCATCTAAGTCTATTCATGTAGACTGTTGGAGAGCATTTCATTGTATAAAACCTTAACATCCTTGTGAAAACTTTGTCGGAGTTACAAAGTGTTTGTGATGAAGCAATGATGATGCGGGATTACACCTTATTTCACACAAAAGCTTCACACAAATTATCTGTTGACAACTTATCCAGTTCTCCTCAAATAACTGTCAACAAATATGTGTTTACGACTGCATTAAATGGAGACCACTTTCCATATCTGCTTTGCTTGTGTTTATAACACCCTCTCAGCCTTCTAACATGCTGTTACCTTTTTCTCTTCCTTTGATTATTTTTGCTTTGCTGCCTAAAATGACCCTAACCCATGTAGAGGAGTCCGGTAAGACTCTGCTTTTTTATTGTTGCTTTATATGCATTTCTTAATTATGTGCTCTTTTAGTTCTAAATATATGTCTTACTTACAAATTTGTGTGCTTTGTTTTTGTGGCTGTTGACATGCAAACTAGATTTGGGGCAAAGTATAAAATCAGCTTGGAATGACATAATTACTAGTTAGTCTAGTAATTACTAGGTAAATGGCCAATGTTGAGTTTTGTCTACTTAAATATAAAGCAGATTTAGTACATCCCAGAAGTTCTGAATCTCCTTTTGTCTTCTTGCTTCCTAACTTATAACTCTTAATAAAATAAGAGAGGTTAAAAAACATGGAAGTGATCCAGCTGTATTGTGCAAAGGTACAATTCAGGACAAGAGTACAACAAAGTCCACAGTATTTTAAAACTAATCAGGGGCAACAACATCTGTATCGATGTCCCGGATCTTGCTGTACCTGATTAGGGACAACAATCAGGAACATACAGGTATTGTTCCTGTATGTGCAACAGAAGTAAACCATGTTCCTCATATGTCTGGACTAAGAACATATTGCAATGCAGAAGCTTTGCCTTTCCCGGAAATCATCCAGGCCTGACAGATATTTCCTAAAACAAACAAAAATGTTATGGTTGGATGAACAAAGTCCAACCATGAACTTTGTTCATGGTTGGATGAACAAAGTTTACCTTTGGACCACAATTCCAAAGGATATGGTAATATCATGCTGTGGGGTTACCTTTACCTTTTTTCAAGTGGAACTGAATTTATTCACTAAGTGTACTAAATTAGGAATAGCTTTAAATACAAATAACTTCAGGCCCAAAGCTAACGATTCCAACGTATTCATATTTTCAACATCACATTCACCTAAACAAATGAGTGCAACAGAGGAACATTAAGATTTTCAGATGACGTAATGACTGTTCAAATTCAAAACTGGCAGAAGATTTACATGATCCCTTGAGGAGAGCTGTCCATATGGGGAACCTTTGTTTGATATAGTGGACAGATCTTGCCAAGGCAAGATGTGGCATGCTTATAGATTCTCATTAAGTCAAACTGAATTCTGAAATTGAAGTTTCCTCAATCAGCGCAGATTAGTGATTGTATTTCCTTTCATACATTTTCCCTTCTTACACATTTGATTCTGCCTCTGTTAAATTGCACAGGTTTTATATCACATTAAAGATGGAAATATTTAATGATTTTTTATAACAGAGACTTTAGAGAAGCATTGTGCTTCTGTTGCTGCTCAGCGTTTTTAAACCACTTCCATATTTTTCTTTCTTGCTGTGCTACATAAGGTGCAAGAGCTATTTTAAGGTGTATTTCTGCTGTCTTTGACTGATCTGATTTTAATTAGTTTTGGTCTACTGGTTCTCAGTCCAAATACTGAGATTATACATTCTAAAAGAAGCAAGTATCGGGTCATACTGAAAACTGTTCGGACAACCTCTCAAAAAGCATATCTGTTTGATATTTTTTATACTTGCATTTATTCCAAAGAATAACTAAAGCTTATTTTTTCAGTTTTTTATATTTTTCATATTTATCATTATTTCAGTTTGGAGTAGATAGTAATATTTGTCTGCTTAAAATATAGCCAACTCGTCTGAGTTTAACAGCCACAATAAAGTAGTATTCCTTTATTCTTTTACAAATATCAAAAATAGTGTAGCATTTTAAAAAATATAAAATTTGTATCTACATTTTGTCACATGTTCAATATTTGATAAACCAATAGTAGTGCTTTAAATGGACTAGGGATTTCAGCTCTGATGCACTTCCTGTTTACGTTCAGCAGAGCTGCAGCAATTGGCTATGTCAGCCTTCACCGAGGTCTTTCCTTCACTACTTTATCCAATTATATGAATTCCTACCACCAGCATGTCCCACCCTCTGTTACATCACTTTAATCACTCATGGCTCACTGCACAACTGGGGCAAGCAAAAGAGTGAGAGAATGGAGGGAGAGATGGTTTCTGTGAGGTGGATCTGATGCGAGCAGATGGGGTGATTTCAGCAGAAATTAAAAAGTGGGAGAGGCAGATGGGAGGATACGTAGGGAAATGAAAGGAACCTCGCTGGGATTAGGTGGCAGAGTTTCTGTTTTAACAGCAGACTGATCAGCAGCAAATGGATGCAGGCGTTAAAGAAGCATAATTAACAAGGCGGATCTACAAGATGTTTTGGATTTTATCCAGTCGTAGCAGGCTGGCAAATGCATTTTCAGTGGTGTAGTTACAAACATATAGATCCGTTTCAATAAATCACCCTGAGCAATCTTGATAAAATGTTTGAAGAGATGTTTCACTAAATTCAACAGAAAAAATATTTCTCATGAAATACGACAGCCTGGCCCAAACAGTCTTCTTCTGATGCACATGCTGTCCTCTGTACTGATTTGTCACTCTCTGATCAGGTATCTCTTCTCTCTTCCTTTATGCTGGTCACAGAAACGTAGCCCGGTAAGTGTCCTTTCCATCTGTCTAACTGGGGTGACACTAAATATATCATATGACTTCCTGTACCCTTCAGCAAGAGCTGAAATTTTCTCAGCTAAAATAAGCATTTTAAAATTTGTATTTACTAATTCTTCAGATCTCTAGTCTTAAATATGTTTTAGTTTTCTATCTTGAATTACTATGTTCAATTTTTCTGTCTGCTTTAGTGATAATTTGCACTTTTGACAGCTGGCTCTTTGATGTCTCATTCCAGTCTCTCTACATCGTGTTTCTTCATCTCCTCATGTGTCCTCCCTTCCTTTCACACTCTCCTCTCACACACCCTAGCTAACTATGAATTCATGCTTCTGTTGGATCACAGCGGGGGGAAAAAACAATAATGTCTGGATTATCACCTTGTCAGCCAAATTTAAGACCCAAATTTTAAGACCCAACTGTCTCTGTCTCACACTTTGTGCTGTCACAAGCTACTTCTTACACCTCAAAAAGCTTATAACTAAAGTCTTATTAAAGCTTTGATTACAATCCACAATTTTCTTGTTACAGCAGGCAGCAGACGCAATTTTTCTCTCATATGAAACTACGAAAGTTTTTTTTTCTTTCTTAGTAAATAGTAGGAGTATGTTTTATTATATGCACATGCAAGTGGTGCTGATTGCAGTGTGGGTGGTAATACTTCAAGTTTGCACAGGTCCTACATGTTCGTCCAGGAGGATTTAACACTGCAATATAATTAAACTCAATTGAATTGTCTCCATATTTATTACCAACACTGCAATGACAAAATCTCACACGAACATTTTTTGGTCCATTTGTTCAGTGGGTTAAAGGGTCAGAAAAGGCTGAAGTAACTGTTTTTCCTAAATTCATTAATTTAGAAATTTAGAAAATGGTTTATTTAGAAAAACCATTGACTAAGGTTGATTTTATGCTTGGAGAGTTAAAGCTATCACAATTACTTAAAATATGCTCAAAGAGTTCATGATGCATTGTACATCCTGATCCGTGTTTAGTTGCTTTTCTGTCTTTGTTTCCAGATGAAACCTCCAAGTCCACATAGAGCTGCACAATATCAGATTGCAGAAATATCACAGTGTCTTCTCATTCTACTTTTCTGGGTTTACTTTTTAAACAACCGATTGGCATGTAGATAGAGATTTTGTTACAGACACTGGGGCCCCCAAGATTCAACTTTTTGCTGTGGTTCTCTGCAGCCAGCTTTGAAGGGAGGGTTTTTTCTTGGTGATGAGATTAACTTAGACCCTCTTAAATCCTTTAAGCCAGTTATGAAAAATGAGTTTCTGAGACTGGTCATATTTAGACTCCCAAGAAACCGAAAAGTAAAACGACATACTAATTAAAAATTCTTAGACAGTCTGTGCTCAAAAAAAACATTAAAAATGTTTTGGGTTTTTTTACATTGGCATTGTGAGGGGTGCTTGTAAGTTATGTAATTTTGTAGAAAACTAAATATTAATGGTTGACTTTCTCTACATTTTTCACCATGGGATTATTTTCCTTTAGGAAAAAAACTACAGTGAAGGACCTTGAATTATTGCCACCTAATCTTTGAACAAGCCTGAAACAGATTTTTTTTAGGAATTACAAATAAGTTTTTGCTTCATCTGAGCATAGAGGGAAAATGTAAATGTGTTACTTTGTACCTCTTCTTTTTAGCATTTTTATACTTTACTGTTTTTTTTTTCTTTTTTCCATGTGATAGGGTATTAAAAGGAACACATCTAGTAAGTAACATTCTTAATGCCCTTCAGTCCAGACTTGTATTTTTTTTTTTTTTTAGTAAAGCACTTAATATATGGGATATAAATATAAATAATGTTTTCTTTCATGCTCCCAGGTGAGGAAATTGCCAGGCCAAGGCGTGCTGTTCCCGCTGCTCCCATTGTGGCTCCCACACCAGCTCCAGCACCACAACCACCCAGGTGTGATGCATGGTTCTCACTTTATGCATTTTATTTCTGAAAATTGATCAATTGCTGCTTATGTATTAAGTAGTTTTGCCATTTTGTCATGTAAAATGCCTTCAAAGCATTTATCATTAAATAAAAGACTGTGTAGCAGCTGTTTTACAGTCCTTTACAAACAAAACTTAACTTTTTCCACATTTCTCACTGCAATCACAAGCTTTAATATTACATAAGTTCATTGGGATTTGATTTGATCATCCACTTGGAAAAAAAATTATTCAAGAGCTTATTTTAAATCAAATAAAAATCTGCTGTGTGACAGCATTCGTATTCAGGCTTGCTGAATAATTTCTTTGAAGAATCACCCCAGTACTGCAGTGGAGCTCAGAAGTAGGACATTTTTTTTTTAGATAATGTTCTTGATATTACTCTTTGCTCTTCTAACGTAAAAGACCTCATTGTAAAATTTTCCCACTTTTACCATCTCTTAGGAATTTTGAACAACTTCTTAGGAAAACAAAAAAACATTTTTGTTGTTCTTGTGGAAATTTGTGCACTCCATTAAGCTTGCAAAGCTGTCAGCCTGCACAATAGTGGTGTGTATTGAGCGCTAAATCTAATATTACTCTTGTGTGAGTGCCTAATAACAGTCGTTTATATTGTGAGTTTTGTGTAGGTGAATCATGCCGCTATGGTTTCAGTGGTTTGCTTGAATGTCAGCTTTCTGTTGTCCAGTTGTTTCAGTGTTCATTGTTTTGTCTGTTGAGTCATGAGGAGTCAGATAAGTCACATTGCCTCTTCTCTCTGCACATAGACAGAGATTAATCACTGTAACTCCACATGACCAATACATTTATTGCAGTTTTTCTTCTTCTCAATACTGGTGCAAGAGTTTTCACAACTAGTCCAAGAAGGTTCATGTATTTTTTTTTTCATTCTATGGGTTTTAAATAGCTTATTATATTCCACTGTTTTTGCTATCTCTCTACTTAGAAGCAGTGCATTTATAAAACTTTCCAAATTGGTTGTAATCATGTTAAAGAGGGCATTTTTTGCCAGTGGTGTACATGATCAGTGTAAGCAAAGTTTTACTGCCTGACTCTCACAAATTAAATGCTGGATTTTAAGTCTTGGCTTACATTCCTTAATGAATCCCACTGGTGGGCAGTTTGACAAACCCTTTACCAAAATAAACAACTGTTTGCAGAGAGTCGACCAAACAAGAGTTTTTTTGACCTTTGAGTTGGAAGACTTTAATAAAAACTAATTAAAATGAAACTTTAGAGATTAGTAATTATAAGTTAAGTACAATGCATTAATACACTTTAAAAAGGGAATAAAAGGCTTCAGATTTTGAATCCCAACAACAAAAATCTTATTTTCAGAAAATAACGTTTTTGCCTCAATTATTTGAATGGCTCCCTCTTTTTAACGAAAATTCTTGTTGAGTATATATGGATCGATTAACCCTTACATGCTATCATTAAAGTCTGGTGACAATTTTAATTTGTGATGACAGTTTGATGACTTGCAATGCATTACCTGACTAGCAGGCTTAAAATAGTTAACTGACTATTTGGTAAAATGGCAACACTTTTCTTTCTAACTCACTCTATTGCCGCTGCAGCAATCAGCAAACAACAGTCCCTGAAGACACCACAGCCTTATTTGGGCCTCCTTTAGAAACAGCCTTCGGAGAACAGAAAGCTGAAGGTAACTGATCTGATCCTGTATTCACCATCCCTTTATATCTTCTAAATGTGTCTATGTTTTTGTCTGGATTGATTAATGGAGACTTTCTGAAAATATTCTTGCTGTGTCTCTTTTGCTGTCAGCTTAGTTTTACAAGACTGTCAACACATTTTCTCTTCGCCTTCCTCTCATCTCTTTACATAATTCTTCTCCTCTTGAACTCGCTGCAGTAGTTGAGAATTTAGCATGTCTTTGTTAAGGTCAAAGCTGAAGATAACCCCCCCAAGGTTGTGTTTATAGGTATATTGCAGGTTGGTTAATACATAGTTTCTATTGTTACTGCTAACATTTTATCCTCTGGGTTTTCAGTAGCAGGCTATCAAAAAGCAATTAGCTATTACATAAGTTCCATCTCTGGCATAATGACCTCAAGTTGATATAAAATACCACTATACATTGATTCACACAGGTGTAGCTGCTCATGTGTAGTTCCATAATAGACGTGCAGTACTTATAAGCTTTGTTTGGCAGTTTGTTCATTCTGTATCATCATTTTTTTCTTCCAGCTAACACTTCTTAACTGCTAAGAGATTTCTTTACCTAATTTAAGACTTTTATTACAAGCTGATCATTTATTCCGTACTTTACGAAATATATGTTTAAAAGAATGAGTAACCCACTATTAATTTCTTTCACTTGACCTGCTATGTCCCCTCCTGCACTTAGTGGTTCTTTCTGAGCCCGATGTGTGGGGGACTTCTTTCTCAGAGCCTGAAACCTCTTTAACGAGGTCCTTCCCCACAGGAAGTAAGTTTCATTGTTCCACACTGTGCCACAGCTCCTCGTCTGCCTTGAATGACTGCACAGACCCACCCGCTCGCCCTGTGAACTCCCTCATCATCTGACTAACAAACAGACCTAGCAAACAGTCTTGATCAAACAGACATGTGGTCATGATCCTCTCCAGGTCCCACCAGAGTTTCATTTCATCAGCCATTACACAACCACAGCATTTATTATTGGTACACGTATGTTTTACAGCAAAGGTTCTGTGCTCATTTTCCACCAACCCCTTCCTCTTTTGGTCCCCTATCCTTGCACTTGGCATGATGTTGACTGAATTGTAAGGTTCTGTGCTGCATGGTTTTGTCTTCCCCTTGTAAGAAGTATTACTGTTTTTTGACAGGTGTTGTAATTCCTGCTATTTGAAAAACCAAACATTCGCTGTTTATAAGTTATTACAAGCTAATCTGCTGGCACTCTTGTTTTTTATTTGTGCCAGAAATCTGCATCCCGTGCAACACATCCTACAGTTACAAGAATATTGGAACAGTTACAATTTGAATCTGTGAACTATTCAATGACATTCTTAACATTTTTTCAGCTCCTCCTCCGCTTCCACCTAAGAATGTCCCAACTTCACCCCCAACAACTGGAGCCTCATCTCCTGATGCTGCTGGTGAGAATCATAAAATCTTTTAATGATAAACGTATTCAACCCTAATTTTATTTTTAACAACCTGCTGTGCATGAAATGGCTGAATGGACTTCTTTTCATAACATTAAATTTCACATAAAATGCTTTACATAAGTTTTAAAAATACTGTGCAGCACTTTGATGTAGTTAGTAGCTGCTTTATAAATAAATTGACATTGACAAGTAAAGACACAATTTTTAAAAGGTTATCATTATATAAATGTACTCATCAAATTTATAAGAATCAAGACTTTACATTCCAGAAATGTATAAATAAAGTAACATTCAATTTATCTCTGGTCTCTATTTCAGAACCATCAGCAGATGCAAATGACTCAAGCAGGAAGCCCTCAATAGCAGACCTGGACAACATTTTTGGACCGGAGGTGGCTCCCCCTGCTGGTGAAGAGATAGATGACAAGTGGGTCTGCTTCAGTGAACACTCTCCCGCTGGACCACCAGCACCAAAGGAACCTGCACCACATATGACCTCTTCACCACCCCCTCCTGAAGAGCCAGCACCTCCTCCACCAGCCTCTCCTCCTCCACCTGAATCCCCAGCTCCACTTCCTCCCCCCATCGCTCTTTCCCCAAAAGAAGACTCGCCTCCTCCTCTTCCAACTTCCCCACCTCCGTCAGAGGAGCCTTTCTTGCCTCCCATACATTCAGGTCCCTCCACACCAGAAGACAAGAATCTGCCCTCCATCACCTCTTCTCTGCCTCTTGCATCAAAGGAACATACATCACCTCCAGCTTCCTCCCCGCCTCCTCTTAGTTCACCTGCTGATGTCCCACCAGTCCCTGCCCCCAAGGATGGCACCCGTGAAGTGGTGACTCTTCCTTCTGAAGAACCTCCAGCTTCCTCAATCCCATCACCCCTTGTCTTCTCTCAAGAGGAGCAGTCTAAGAACACAAACACCTCTCATCCCAAAGAGGAAGGAGGTGAAACGATCACCTCTCCCAAAGATGCCAGCCAGGAAAGTCGGAGCACACCACCACCGCCTCCTCCACCTCCAACGTACCGTGCAGTAGTTTCATCACCAGGCCCCACAACTGGAGCAGGCGGGACAAATAGTGGTGAGTACTTACTTATTTTGGAAGTTCTCAGATGCCATGTTTTGATTTTGTATTGACTATAAAAATGTTTCAGTTCATTGGTGTAGAAAGGGACAGACTGCCAGTTGGATTGTGGCACCCTTGCTATTAAACTTGCACAGACTGAACAGTTGTTTGGAGGGGAGGGACAGTGTTGTTTTAACTCAGATGAATACTGAAAGTTATTTTTCTATAATATGTTTGCTGAGTAATTTGTTTTACTGAGTTATGATTGGTTTTTAAACTTGACTTATCTACAAAGCTTTGTTTTGCAGCGAAATTACTGTCTTATTGCGATTTTGTTACCTTTCTTTATCAAAAACTTTTTTATTAAAACTATAAACACTTGCTGTTCTTTCAGGAGAAAATTAATGGAATGTTCTATAAATGTTTTGAACTCAGAGACTTGTTATGTCCAGCAGCTGATGTATTAAAGACATAAAAAGTTGGATTTTCATTTTAGAGATGAAATAAATGACATCACTTCATGATGGATTACTAATTAAAGTTCATTTGTACTCTGATAAACTTCTTAAGTCACATTCACTGTTTAGAATTGATGGTTGACAATAACTGTCACAGGGTATTTAACATAAAACAATAATTGCAATAAATGGAACATTTTTCTGAATTAATAGCCACATGTCAAGGTGGGATTATAGTACTGGAATAATTTACCTTATTTTAAGGCTTTTGGAGCATATTTGTTATTCCAGGAAATGTACAATGCACTGTTCTTTGTCATTTTATGTGCAGTTTTGATTACTTAATGTTTAAGTTTTGTAAATTTCATTTGAAAAGTAACTTGCTGCAAGTGTTTTAATTGTGCGATTGAACTATATCTGAGGCTTGTTTGGTTTCTGCACTCATCTTCAGGTTCCTCCTCACCTGTAAGACCTTCCACCCCTTCGTCAGTCAACGCAACTCCACCCCCACCTCCGCCTCGGCCTCCTTCACGACCCAAGCTTCCTCCTGGGAAACCTGCTGTTGGAGATGTGGTAAGATCGACCTTGTATTTTTGTGCTACTAAAATCAGTTCTAAATGTAACTGGGAGTTTACTCATTTATCTTCCGCCTTCTGTTGTAAACAAGAAATCCTGCAGAGGTTGAAAATAAGATAAACACTTCCTTATATTATTATCCAAGCAGAACCCCATTTGAACATTAATTTAAATGTCAATATCAACTTATTTTTTTGACTTTTTCTTGTCTTGTGTCTATTTTTAGAACCGGCCGTTCAGCCCACCAATCCACTCGGCGAGTCCTCCTCCCATTGCTCCACTGGCACGAGCTGAGAGCACCTCCTCAATCTCCTCCACCAACTCGCTGAGTGCTGCCACTACACCCACTGTTAACAAGGAGTTGTGTGTGTCTGTGTCAGGTGTGTGAACCAGTTCTGACGTTTGAAGGTTCTGCTAATTTGAAAAAAAACAAACCTGAGAAATAGTCCACCTGCACTTGTGTAGCGCTAAATGTTTTATTCATTTTTGAATTTGCCTTCTGCTCTTGCTGCTTTTGTTTAAATCATTTTTTATATTTTGTTCTTCTATTTAAATTGAAGTGTTAAAAGACTTGACATTTTCACAGAACAAGTTCTTGACAAAAAAACGATTTTGTGTCAATTGGGCTGATTAAATTTCACACTTGCAAACATGTTGAGTGTGAGCGATAGGTGAGAATATGAAGCAGGGTGTTGATTTTCACTCGCAAACATTCTTGAATGAATTAACGATAGAGCAGTTCATATTCCTTTATCTAAATTTAGAGTCTGTGTAAAGGAGCCTGCAGTGCAGAGTTGTGAGTGGATAAAACTAATCTCAGTAGGCTGAAACATGGCTGAGTCATAGCAGCATAAAAAAATAAACACCATGGAGCAGAGGGAGTTACATAAAATCAGAAAAGTCCCTGATTGCAGGTGGATTTTATTCAAACTGATTTTTAGAACCCATTGCTTGAAAAATGTATAAAGGATCAGATGTTTTCCAGGTTTCTAAATCATATAATTATTACCTAAGGTATTTAAAAACATTCTGTATAATCATTAGTTATTATACAAACTGATAACTATGTGTTAGAAACTAAGTACACCAAATACAAAACCACCTGTAGACTAGAAAAATAAAATGTTATTTTATTTTATCCATCTTACATCACTGTGAAGAAATTTTGGTTCATTGCTGTTAACTGCATTGAGGTTCACAGACTTGTTTCGGCATCCCAACATTTCAACCTATCATGACTTTGACCTTTGATTTCGGTTTCATTCATTTTGTGGTATCTTTGGGTAATGGCAAATCTGTATGATAATTAGGCAATTTCTAGTCATTATCTATTTTCTATTAAAGTACCTTCTATTTAATTGTAAACCATTGTAAGCTTTTCAGTTCCACTGCTTTTAATTTTGACATTTTCCGCAGCTTTTTATTTAAGATCTCCATTTCTATTTACATTCTTGATTGTACGCTTATTTTTGTGCTTTTATTTGAAATTTTTCTTTTTTTGTTTGTTTTGCTTTTTTGTCCCTTTGTTTGCTCTTTGGCTTATCAGAAGATGATGCTTATGTAGACAAACTGCCCACCTTTGAGAGGCACTTTGATTCATTTGCAGGTAAAGTTCAACTCCAACAGAGCACTTGGGGGAATATGAAATACTATAGGAGTCAATATGAAATCAGTAACTTGTCCATTGACAATTTATAATTTATTACCACTACAATTAATATGAACTAATAGCCAGACAACAGACAATGCAGTTTTTTGGATTCATTCAACAAACTGTGCACTGACATTTGAAGAGTGGAGAAAAAATGTCTACATTGGACCCCATCAAATATGTGTCTTTATCATTACAGCTGGTTTCTGGAATGATACTCATTTATATATCCATATCCATTTATTAATATTTATGATGTACAGGCACATGGTCAGCATATGTAAACTTCCTTTTAGCACTGTGAGTATTAAGTGCTTTTTTTATTTTATTGGTTTCATATTGACTGCATAGCATTTTGTACAGTGTGGGTTTGGAGTGCTCTTTTGTGAGTTTTTCTGTTTGATGGTTTCTGCTGAGATTGATCTTGGTTGAGGACCTTAAAGGCTATTCTGGAGTGTTATGTATGCCATTTTGATGAATGTAAGTGAAAAGTGAAGGTATTTTAACAATAAAAGCAGGCCATTTTTCCAAGCTTATAACATAACATTAAGCTTTTTGGATCAAATACATGTTTCACATTGTCCAAAAAGGCCATGTTTTTGCCATTGTTGAAATACCTTGGGTTTTTTTTTTCATCCACATCAGTTTTCTTCATTCTAATGTGAAGAAATACCATAAATTCATGGTATTCCTTTTGCTTTTCAGTGAAATTTTCTCATCGTTTTGCTCTCATGCTCTCATATTTAAAGACATTTCAGTATTTATCTCACTATAATGTTGCATTTTTATCTCATCTTGTTTATTTCTCAGGTCAAAAATTCAACTAATAATGAAACCTGGTTAAATCACACAAGTTAAAAGAAATATTTGTTTCTTCATTCATCTGTTTGCCTGAGACTTTTCTCTCTGTCTTATGACTGTGACCGTCTTGCCCTGTCACCATGGTAGCCTCCTATCTCTCATATTTCAAGAGATTCCTTTCTTGTACAGCAAAGTCTCTCCCAGATTCCTTTTGTCTCAGTATTCAACACCAGAAATGTTTCTGAGTGTGCTGGGTTTCTGTGTGAGCTTGTTTGAAGGACCCATCATATGAGGGTTCTTGAGATCATGGAACACACACACATTCACAACACTCATTCTCACACACCGTTAGATCAGAGTCTGGTTTGGAGTCTGGCATGAGAATCAGGTCAAATTAGACAAGCAGCTGTTTTGTATTCATGTCTGTCTCTCTACAACTGGAGTACAAGCCTCAAGGTTACCCAATCTCACTGAGGTGCCTTGATCTGCGACTTCCACCTTTCACACATGCCACTCATTCACTCTCCAGGCACAGAGACCTTTGAACCCTTTCAAACATATCGAAGGACATATTGTGTTTTCCACATAATGGATTATGCTTATTTTGTTCCACCACTCTACATTCTTAGTCGGCTCACTCATTCATTAACAGCGATTTGCCACAAAAAATGGATGATGAACAAAAACCAAGTTTTTGCAATGCTGTTGAGTGTAAGGTCTGGATTAAATATATATATATATATATATATATATATTTGTATTTTTTATTTTATTGCTGTTGCAAAGAGTCTTTCCAGTTATACAGAATCTTTATCTTGCCCAGAAATATTTGTTTGTTTTTAATATTGCAATGTGTTTCTACTTAAGCTTCAGAATACCCCAATACACTGTTTTCCAACCAGAACAAAGCACTATTATCCATTTTTGCCCAATTTTGATGCTCATTTTTCTGATATTTTTATTTTACTTCTGTGTGGCCATCTCAAACGGTCAAACTATCGAGACTTTTGCTTGAAAATGAAGTCATTATAACCAAAACTGTCAGTTAAGCTGTAATGTGGTTTGGATTTTCTAATTTCCAGAACATGTTTTGGCTTCCTACATTGTTTCTAAAATAAATATTAAGATAATGTGTTGCTGTTGGCAAGTAGTGGGCCAAAAAAAAAAGTTTAAATGGGACACATGTCATCATTGGGGTTTCCTTCTGTGAAGGGATATGTGCAAGTTTAGCCACATATCCCTTTTGGGCATTTTAAACAGAATTTCGTTCTCAATTTTCTTTCAAAGCGAGTTCCAGAGCCTGAAATGTGGGTTTCTGTTCTCCACCTTTTCTTCTTGTGGTTTGGTCTCATGACTCCCATCATGAGACCATGATGTGATAGTTCATCACATCCATCTCTGCTGTTTCATAATGTGAAGATGGTAGTCTAATGATAATGTAACTATAGAATGGCATCAGAAAGGTGTACACTGGTCAGTTTCAACGTTATGACCACGGACATAATGTTGTCCGTGGTCAGTGAAAGTGAGTAACACAGATTGTCTCTTCATGTTAGACGGTGGGAAATACCAGATAGCATGCGAACATTTTGGTCCTCCAAGATGACGCGTTAGAAGTAGGAAAAATGGGATTATAAAAAGCTTTAGCTGAGTGTGAAAAGGTCCAAATTGTGACTACTGAATGACTGAATGACTGAGTCAGAGCATCTTCAGGATTTAGCTCTTCTGCAGTCATCCAGTAGTGATTGGCATGTTTATATTGGAGTTCAAGGAGGGAATTGCAAGATGTTCGTGTGCAGCTGAGACTTATTGGTGCCAGTGTGTGGTGAAGGCTTGTCCACAAGGTCCAACCCAAAGTTGAATTGCTACAGCTTAAACTGCTGTAGAAGTTGTTGTTTATTCCCACATAAAGAAGTCAGAATATGAAGCGTTTTATAGTTTGCTATGAATGAAAATAGCCAAGATGCCCATGCTGTCTACAGTCCACCACTCACATCACTAACAATTGGTATGTGAATACCAGAACTGGACAGAGCAATGGAAGAAGGTGTTCTTGCTTGGGGAAACGAGAACAAGGCATTGGGCTTTACTAGAGAAAGAAGCCAGCAGTTGAGGGTTGGCTTCACCTGCTGGAAAATTGACATATCCTTTGGACAATTTTCTGCTGGGACGTGACATTTGCTATCTACCTTAGTGTTATTGCTTACATGAAAACTGCATTCCTCTGTAGCTGTGGTCTGCTTCAGCAGGATCAGAAATGGTTTAAGATTACACCTTCAAATTCCCCTGATTTCAACTCAGTTAAGTATTTGATGGTCTGGACAAACGAAGCAGATCCCTTCAGATCCCATTTCTTAACTTAAAGTCTTGGAAGATCTACTGCTAAAATCCTTAGACGTCTTCAGAGGTGATGTTGCAACAAATCAAAGTTGTTTTGTCAGCAAAAAGGAACACACGAGTGATCATAATGTAAACTGCATAAATTTGAAACACTATACGTACCACAGATAAAAAATTTGTCTGCTTGCTTCATGTCTTCAGTTTCGATCATAGTGTTGAGACTCCATAGTCCCCTTCACTATTTAGCTCAACTCAACATTGAAATCCATCCTGACCAACGTTCAGCAGCTATCCCTATGTCTACCCGAGTCCAGCATCGTCTCATTCACCCAGTTTTTGGCCAATATGTGTCTCTCCCATCTCGTCACATGTTCTGTCCTGGCAGTGTCTCTCCGTCTCTCCTCTCACCTGGCCCTCACCCTCCACGTTTCACTTCACTGTGACGTGTGATAGACCTTCCATGTGAGACTCATGCTTCTGTCCTTCTCTCCCCCCTCCTCACCCACCTCCTACCTTCTCATCCCTCTACCTCTTCCCTTTCACTGCCCCCCTCCACCCAACACAGAGAATGACCAGCCATCCCTTGTTTGGTTTGACAGAGGGAAGTTTTATTTAACCTTTGAAGGTAAGTTTCCTCGGTAACAGGGAAGCGTGCACACACATAAACACTCTTCTGAGTCTCATTCGTGCAAGCTTGGCCCTGCCCTCTGCGCTGCCCTTTTCCTTAAGCTCCTCCCTCAATAGATTGTCCATTTTCTAACCCTCACCAGGCTAAATATGTGGCTGAGCATTCCTTCTCTGTATTAAAATATATTTTTTGACAATTTTTTTCTCTCTTTTGACATTGTTTGGTCTCATTTCATCTCCACTTTCCTTCTTGAAGATTCATCTTTCTTTGTGCACTTTACTAATCTATTTATAATTATTTTTCCTCTTGGTGGTCTGCTAGTTTATTTGGTTAGATATAATTTTCTATGATCTTGTCAAAAATACTGCAACTATATAATGGAATAAGCATGCAAATACTTGTCTTTTTCTCAGTCTGCCTTGCTGTCATCTTCTGCACCTGCAATGCTTATTTGGGGGGAAAAAAAGCAAACATCGCTGTACTACAAATTGTGCCAATACATTAAATTGTACTTTGTAAAGGGGATATTTCTCAGTCAAAAAGCAGAGAGAAATGTGTCATCTTTGTGTGTAATTTGCTGTTCAACCTTACTAACACTGGTATTTCTGTTCATTATGAATGTATGATGTTTCATTTTATGTCATTTCATTGTCATCTATAAATGTTGTCTTCATTTCATTCTTGCACTTTTGGATTGGAAGAGTGTAAAGTCCTGGCCTAGAACCTTTTAGTTACTTATCTGCTCTCAATTTAAAAATGATTAAATCATCAATGATTATTTAGTTTCAAATTCATTTGGTCATTTGTTCACTATGTTTCATGCTAGATTTAATTCTATTTTTGTGTTACTTTGTCCTGATTTTAGGCTGCTCCCGAGGACCGAGCCCTCTCACTATGGGGGCCCAGGACACACTTCCTGTGGCCGCAGCATTCACTGAGACTGTCAACGCCTTTTTTAAAGGAGCAGACCCCAGCAAGTATGTCTTTAATTTGACAACATCAAAAAATGTTATTTAGTCAGTTCATGGAATTGATGTAAAATATAATAGCCCATATTATTTACTAGATGTGGCATGTCTCTGGTTTGGCTCCAATTTTTTTATCTACAGCTATTGAAATATTTCTAGATTTTTGTAAAACAAAGGAGTGTCCATTAGACTGAAGACAGTTTGGGCAAACTATGTATTGCTTTAAAGCATGTGTAAAGTTGCGTTTGGAATAGCTTTGCTTTGTATTTATTTGCCTAATGTGTAGGCAAATAGATTTATTTTAGTCTTGGCCATGATTGTGTTTGCACTGCTTTTCTGTACTACTAAAAAATATGTTTTATTTTGTCTTCATTTAGCTTGCTACTCATGTTGCTTTGAATTCTATGCTGTCATTTCAAAACAGTACTGGAAGCAGTGACGATTCAGATGTATAATTAAAGAAAATCAAAGAGGGGACAGAACATAAGAATGTTACAAATAATTTGGGTGATGCTTATCTGCGACTTACAACTTTTATTTCTCCCAGGTGTGTTGTGAAGGTCATAGGTGAGATGGTTTTATCGTTTCCGGCAGGAATCACACGGCACTTTGCCAATAACCCGTCCCCTGCCGTGCTAACCTTCAGCATAACCAACTACAGTCGACTGGAGCATGTCCTGCCTAACCCCCAGCTGCTCTGCTGGTAATACCATCACCGTAAACTCACCACCTTTTCCAGACACCTTTTCACCTCAGACAGTATCTCTGTGAGCAAGGAGCCTTTTAGGCTGTCATCTAACTTTATTATTTTAGCTGAAATGTTTAACATGAGCTCAAAAAATAAACTAAACCTCACTAAATGCATATTAAACCTTTAAACACACCCTGCATTACACATTTTGTTAACGTGTAATGCAAAAGCTCACACTGGATTCTAGAAATAGCAAATGTTGCACTTACTTATGTTCAGTTTTCTATTGGATTGTCATTAACTACCCATTTGTTAACCACTGAGATCAAGATGTACTAAGGCTTTAAAAAGTCACAATTTTAAAACCTTAAAAAATGTGATCTTATTGTTCTTGTAGTTTATAGATATTTTAAGTAAACGCCAAAGAAATGTCAAAGTGGCTGGCATTTTCTCCAGCCAGAGAGAAATGTAGCACTGCCCCTTGTGCTACATGAAGGCTATTACACCTTCCCATCACTTATAAAAAAAATTATGTTTTAGTTATCTTTATTACTACACTATTGTAGTTATTAATGTTTTGCTTTGAAATTTTTAAATGAATGATGAAGCAATGACATGAATCAATTTGACTTTAAATAGAAATCATTTCTTAGATTCATGATAATGAATTCCTTGGTAAATCACCTATTATGAGCCAGTCCAAGTTAGTTTTTACAAAGTTTTTCAATGCCAATTTTTGATGAAAGTGGAAGGTTTCTGGATACTTTTTTCTGGGAACTTTTTTTTATATCTGCCTTCAAACACTGCCTTTGTGTTTGCTTCCCCCCCCCCTCCCCTTTTTGTGTTTGAAAATCACAATTGTTGTTTGTGTTGTGATTACTTTCTTTTACTCCACCAAACAGCGACACCACCACCACACAATCTAAGGCTGATTCAAAGGAGTTCTGGGTGAATATGCCAAACCTGATATCTCATCTAAAGAAGGTGGCTGAGCAGAAGCCGCAGGCAACGTACTATAACGTCGACATGCTCAAGTATCAGGTTAGCTTGGCCAGATACCAAACATTTGGTCTTTTTGAGAGAAAGACATTTTTTATGAAAATGTCTTTCTCTCAATACTTTACACATGTCTGCATTTAGGTATCAACGAATGGCCTCCAGTCAGCTCCTCTGAACCTGGCTGTGAGCTGGAGATGTGAGCCCACCAGCACTGACCTGAGGATAGACTACAAGTATAACGGGGAGGCCATGTCTACACCAATGGCTCTCAACAACGTCCAGTTTCTCGTCCCAATCGATGGAGGTGTTTCAAAGTTACAAGCTGTCCTACCTCCTGCTGTGTGGTATGCACCAAATCATAAACTGGTTGATTATCACACTTTGTAGAGTTTAAAAACTAAAGATGTTAGCTTGTTGCAACAATGTGGTCATGTTCATTTAGAAAGTTCAAGTGCACATCAAATAAAACACATTAATATTTCAAATAATAATGGAAAGAAAAAAAACAAACATTTAAGATTTTATTCAAGTACCATTTTGCTGAAAAAAGGTTTCTATTTCCCTTAAGTGTTAAATCTTAGCATACTAATTCTAAAACTTTCTATAGGCTTCAAATAAATGTCCTGTCTATGTTTCCATTGCTATCTATGCAGGAATGGAGAGCAGCAAAGAATCCTATGGAAGATCCCTGATATCTCCAAGAAATCTGAAAATGGAGGTATAGTTAACAGTTTTGAGATGAATTTCTGCCCATATTTAGATTTTGTTTTAGAAGTAAAATATATATTTATCTAAAATAATTACATAAATGTATCACTCTTGTATCTTTCAATATTTATTTTCTTGGCCCAGGTGTGGGGTCCCTATTGGCACGCTTCCAGCTAACGGACGGTCCCAGTAAACCGGCTCCACTGGCAGTGCAGTTCACCAGTGAGGGCAGCAACCTGTCAGGATGTGACATTGAACTGGCTGGACCAGGATATCGCTTCTCTCTAGTTAAAAAGAGGTTTGCTGCAGGTAAGTTTCTCTGCATTCGAAAGTTTATCCAAACGGAATTTTAAAAAATATATATTTATAGGCTTGGCTGCCATAGTTAAATTTAATTTATTATTTATCAATTCTATCAAGCTACTTTTAGGTGACCAAGTTAACGAACATTGATATCTTTTTTATTATCATTTAGCCTTTATCACATCAAATGTCTGACCTTTACCTGTTTTCTGGTTTTTCAGTTGAATTATTTTGTTAAAAATAATTTGAAGGTGTCTACAAAACTATCATAATATATTAATATTATAAACAGAAACAATACAAAAAACAGTTTTGTTTATTCAAAAAAAATCAGAATTTGAGAGCTAATGAAAACAAAATCTACAGTACAAAAATAAAATCAAATTAAGGGAGAATCTGAAACCAATACTGATACTGACTTGATATTGATGTTATTACTATTTCGGGCCAATTCACCCACCTCTAGACTTAAGCTTATGTTTTTTTTATCATGTTAATAGATAGGTAGTGCTCATTACATGAATGACATAACAGATTTCTTACATTTTTCAATATAACTTGCGCACTGGGGTGTTTTTTGGATACAAGCATTACTTAATGCAACTTTAATACCCGTGTCACACTATTGTGTATCTGACTTTTGTTTTACCGGCTTAGGAAAACCTAGTGTCATTGGACAGTAATGCTGCTTCGTCACCGTATAACCAATTTACCACTTTAGCATACAGTGGTAAATTGTCTGGCTGCCATGGATCTTTCCACTCACACATGTGCAATCATGCTACAGAATCAACACAGCAGTGACTCAAATATTGCATTAATGACCCAATAATAGCAGCAGTTATTTGTATCTTTCAGGAAAATACCTGGCTGACAATTGACCCCCAGTAAGAGCAGCACTGTTAAACTGAACAACTGTCATGGACCAAGGTTAGCAATGCGACCAGAGGACAGACCCAAACCAGACACTCCTGTAACCTTTTCTGAACCCACACAACAGGTCTGCAGCCTACCCAGCAGTATTGTATAACTTGCATATAGCATTGTGGAACTGTTTCACGTCATGTAATTATTATAGTATTTGTACTCATCTCATACAAAACATGTGTTGCTGCAGTTAGACACCTGGGTTCTTTCCTTCTCTAAAGTCTGTGCCTCTGTCTCCATCCTCCTCTGGTCAGTGTTTGGTGGTGTTATTTAAAGTTTCACTGCAGCTGCCTGACAGAAGACTTGAACAGAGCATTTTTCTTTGGTCTGTGAAGAACTTTTTCGCAGTAACACATCTCAGCCCACACAGTTGAATCAGCACATACAGCAGTACAAAATGAGTGATGCTAAGTCACAAACCCCAGAGCAAACATACTTTTGTTAATGATTGTTGTCAGTGCGTTGAAACAATCTAATTAAAACAAATTTAAGTGGCTACATAAACATAGTTTTTCAAGGATTGCGTACTGGTACTACAGGGTCTTACAACTTTCAATTGCATCCTGTTTGATGGAACAATCGGATAATTCGGATAATCTCTTAATTGCACACTTATACTGAGAAGTGTTAGGCAGCTGCATTGATGAGTCAGTTCACTGGTTGAAAATAAAAAAAATCTTAAAAAATAAGCAGGGTTTTCCTGTCAGAACAAAAGAATTGTACAGTGTCATTTTAACATGTATCTCAAAGGGCGTTTGGTGTTTTCCTTGTATTGTCAGATAGCCTTTCTGTTGTTCCCAGAACAGCAGTGTTAGACACCAGAGTCACATGACAGCATTCTATTTTTATTTATTGATGACGATTTGTTGTATAAAACATGTGATTCTGTATATGAATAGAATCTGAATGGTATCACACAACTTGGAACCCTTAAATGTATAAATATTTGAATTCTCTTGCATTTTTGTTATCTGTGTAGTTGGGTAACCTTGTGTACAGTATAAGGTATAATTTTTTGAATTTATTTCAGATATAATTTTTTAACTCAAGTGCAACAGAAGATTTGAGCTATATATGGGTGGGGGTCATGGGGTAATTTAAAGAAAATGATGAATATCTTCCTGGATGCCGTGTTATGCTTTGTGAAAGCAGTGTTATCGTAGTGTTAGAAGTCCACACTTAAAGTTATATGTGTGTGTTTTATTTTGAAAGTTCATGCTACCCAACTAGCCCCTCTATACCTTCTTTAGAGGTTATTCACCCATTCATAGTTTTTATACAATCACTTCCATTGCACATAAATAACAATCTTTTTCAGTTGGCAATAGCAGTTTAGTTACAGCGTAACTCAAATCAACTCAACTTTTCTGCAACTTGCTTATAAATCAGGTAGGAGTTGCTGTTTAGCATTACAAGCTGTTAATGAGGGCATAACAAAAGTTGTGTTTCCAACATCTAGAGTAGTTTTTCTGAGCCATTTATATTTACCCACTTCTATTTTAACTTGATTTGCCAGAGTAAAAATCTAAACCAAACAGGGCCTGTAGAACCCTTGCTATTACCCTGTACCTTTGTAGTGATCTCTGGATTTCAAATTGGCAGAATATTTGAAGCATTTTGTTTTGGAAGTACTCCACTGGTTGTATTTTACATTATTTTTACATGTAATATATTTTAAATCCAATACATGTGTGCAAACAGGGAGACCAAATATTCTTATCATAGTGCTATTTTAGTTTTAATTTGTTTATGTGGAAATGTTTTACGTTTGTTTTGAGGCACAATAAAAGCAATTACACCACCATAAGAATGTTTATTTTAAACTAATTAGTTTTTAAAGATTACATGTGTGCAATATTATTTTAAGACACATGGCATTGATTTAATTTATAACATGTCTCATAATATGTTATGTTTCCTCAGAGTTTCAGGATATTGTAATATTGTGTCCAAGTAAAACACTGAGAAAATATCAGACATATTGGTTATAACAGCAGAGTACTTCTGTTTATCTCTCATCTGTCATAAATATACTTAAAGGCTTTTGCAGCTGTAGGGTACATTTGAAACTCTTTACAGTTACACCTTCAAATGGAAATTGAAATGAGAAGTCACTATAAAAACATAATCAGTTATAGTTTCCATTCCTGAAAAACAAGAACTTAATGAGAACATTTTGTAGGGAATCTACACTTGTGATTTGCAGACTAACGACTGAGTCAAGCGACTTTTTTCTACATAAACTGCACTGCAAGCAAAACACAGCAAACAACCCAAGGTAGACCTTGTTCACAGTCATTAATTTTTAAGGGAGTAATGGTTCAGGAAAACATGATTATGTTGATAAAACACGTACAAACTTAACATTACTGTCTTCTGTCCAAGATGTTGGAGTCAGTTTCCACCTGCAGGTTGATGGATTTGCCAGATAGCAGTTGAATGTCTTGTGTGAGCACCATAAGACAGGCACTATTAAAGCTAGTTGGTTGCAGCAACTGAACTTTCAAAGAGTAAAACTTGCATATACACACTGAAATGTTTGACATTTTAGAATTATCATTACCTTTTATATCTGTTCACTTAGCAGAAAGACTGTGTTTATATTTATTTATTAAATATTTCTTAGGCAGTACCTATAAAGACTCAGAGTATCACACATTTTCTTTTCTTAACTGAAGATATCAATCTATCTTAATGAAAAAGTGTAACATGCACCTTAACAAAGCTTCAGAGGTTTCTTTATGCAGATCATTATAATGCAGCTGTTTTTAATCGAACCAAGATGATTTTTATCCATCTCCCTGACAGTGTCAAATGGCCCTGCTTCAGCAAATCTGTTGCAAGTTTGGGCGCTGTTACGACTGGCTCAAGCTTTTACTGATTCAAAATTTTAATTATGTGAATCCTCTTGACTTTACCAAATAGCTCTAGAAAATCACAAGATTCCCTTTAATTTTACGTCTTACTAATTGATTATAAGATAGATCACTCGGATGCAAAAATATTACATATTTATTCTAATAGTCAAAAACTGTTAGCAAGCATTCATTAGCATCAGCATTGGTTACTCTTACCTCCCTCCAGCCTCGTAAGACCTGAGACTTGTTCACTTTTGAATATAGCTACAGTTTGCGGTTTCCCCCTGATTGCAGTCTTTATGCTAAGATAAGCTAAGACTAAGTTTGTGGTAAATTCTAGGTATAAAAAGCAGCCGCTGAAGCTGGAGTTTCCAGTCTACAAAGTCAAACCTCCTTGAGCTATCCAGGATGTAAATCCAGTATGGTTGCCATGCATTTACTAAAAATTAGCAATTGTAGATTTTTGCTTTCAAATTGAGTGCACTCAACATCCAACTTCCAAGGCAAATGGATGCAGTATTAACAAATCCAAAATGTCAAGCAGTTTCTTTCAAATATAACATGTACAACAATAAAAAATAAAATAAAAATTTTCTCAGCTGCAAATAAGTTTACTGGGACCAGCTTGTTTCTCATACCCTCCAAGTAATAGAGAAACTTTAATCCAGTAAATAAAATCACTACTAGATACTACTAGCCTTTGGTTTTTACCAGTTATACTTTTCACCTGATACCAGTTGTCTCAATGGTATCTGACTCCCAGAAACCTTATGCAGCACACCCAGTTGATCATGCCAGCGCTTGAATTCATGGCTTTAATTTTCATATATGTAATGGTCTCTGTGAGATGACTTGATTTGAATGAGGGTGTGAAGCAAGGTTAAGTAGACCAAAATTCTATTTTTGTTCTGTTTTTGTATTTTGTGTGTGTGCGTGCGTGTGTGTACCCCGGACAGTCAGTCCTGTGTTGAGGATAATAAGATGAATATTTTTAAAATGCAGAAAAATATATTATTGTTTAATGTGAGAACAACAACACTGTGCTGATTATGTTCAACTTCCTGAATGCTCTGAAACACAAAGAACAAAGTCTGTGTACGAAGTGGAACTGAAAACTGTATGTGGTGTACTGTTTGTCTGCATTCTGCTAAATGTAACCAATCACAGTCTCGTGACTAACTCTAGAGGGGAAAACAAATCTGTAAGTCTAATAATTTTGATTTATGAAGTACTTTTGACTGGATATAGTTTGCATTGTAAATATATTTAGTGACTAAGGAGCTGGGCTGCACAATTAAATTCAAACATTTTGGGTTTTTGCAGATGTTTTATGTTCTTGTGTGCAGACCGAATATAAGGGAACATTGAAGATGAATTTTGAAGTAAGATGACTGATTGGTGCCATTTAGCTACCAGTGGAACCTTCATCTGATAATTATAGCTTTTTATGTTGAATAGACACCTTGTCCAACAGGACTCTGTTATCTTTTGTATGAATTGTGAGATTTTCAGTGCAACAGTCACTACAGCATTATCTGCCAATGCCCACAATATGCAGTGCTTCTCATGTAAGCATTTTAAATTGTCATTACTCAATAGATTAAGCTTTTTGTCAGTTTGAAAGACATAACCAAAGTCTTTAATTGGTTTAAATTAAATTTTTAAAAATAAAATCGAAATATGTGAGCAATTTCCTGCTCTTCGTCCCAGTGATGAATTTTTCTGCCTGTAGTTTTGCATGCAGAGCATGCAATAAAAAGTGAGGCATCGATGGTGATAGGTAGTACTGAAATGACATGTTGTGCTGAGTGTCATTTACCTTGGATTATGTTGAAAAGAGAGCAGGGAGTGGATTTTTTGTTTGTGAGAAGCCAGGATGCTTCTTTTTGGTTCTGTGCAGTTAACCTCAAACTCATGTGCAAGCTGTTTGTACAGAACATAACAATGCTAAGATAAACTGAGAAAATTTGTTTGCTTCTTTCCAAAACCAATAAAAAGTATAACTGGATGCTTGTTTTTGTGTCACTTTGTGTCTGTTGAATTATCTCTTTCTCCCTGAAGATTGTGCAGAAAAACAGGTATTGCAAATTTGAATTTAATTTCACTCAAAGTGATGTTCATATTATTTTGGAAATTTCAGATGTTATCCAGTTGATTTAACTCTAAAAGTTGAACATTTTGTCTCTGGTTGCTTTTGTAATTTGTCTTTTTGCATTAATTTCAGAGCAATTCTTATCTGATCCAGCTGTCATCTGAGGCTCTGACGAAACTTGTTTCAGTAACACCGTCATACCAAACTCAGCAACAGCTTCACAAGGTCTTTTTCTTTTGTCCTGGAGTTAAATAACACATTTTCTAACAACATTTTCAGTTATTTGAACAAATGAATGTAGCCCCTCAAGGCCTGCAAATTGTACTCAAAAATGAATCAGACTCGTGGAGATACTCTGTTTATAACTTGATATATTTATTTTTGTTTTAGCATGTCAAACAAGAAGGCAATATGTATGAGTTGTTGCCTTTGAAATTTGACCTGACTTTTGATTCAATGTCTTTACTCAATTTTCATGTATTAAAAAGATGGTGAGCAAAATGTTTTTTAGTTGATGATCTTGCATAACAATAGTCTCCTTTCATTGAAATTATTGTATTGACCAAAACACCACACCTAAAAGCATTTGCAAGAACATTTATTTTTCTTATAACAATTTAAAACATAAATGTTAGGCATAAAAGCAGAATTGGAATCTATACAAATTTGCACCACAGTTATTTTATTCTGCACAAATATATGAAACATCAGGTACTAGATATCTGCCATCTAAGACCTGACAAAATTTCTGAGAGGTCTTAGATGGCTGTCTTAATTGATCTGCAATTAATACACTCCTATAAACTCTAATACAAGTTCTACTTAAAATATATTCAGTCATATATTTATTGATGAAATTATTGACCTCAAATTCACACAAAAATTCACAGATGCACCACATTCACTATCTTTTCTACAACGATCATAATATTAGACATCAGAGTGAAATTCAGGTTTTAAGGCAAGGTGAGAGACAAGGCAGTTATTTTGGTCTCTGAGTAAAAATAAAAGACCAAATAGTCATTAGCACAAGTAGGTGAGTTCACTTTTCCTGCAGCCCACCTGACAGCACAAGTTTGTCAGGATGTTGTTTATGTCCCGTTTGCTCCAGTTAGATCCCGGGATGCTAAGGTTTTCCAAGCTGTTCTGCTCCCCTGAAGACAGACCTGGAGCGACAGAACAGAGAAGTGGATGCAGAATGAGAACAAACCTGACTATAAACCTAAACCATCTAGAAAACATTAATTACATCTTCATTCAAATATTTTCAAGAGGCAGCAACTGTTTTCATATATGTTCTATGTAATTTATATTCATATTCTCAAAGAAAGGACATCTTAAATGACTGCTATTTATCTTCGACAGTGTCAGTTTCCTTCTTGTAATTACCCTGATTGATACTCTAACCAGATTTGTCTGACAAGACAGTAAGAGAAGGACTGCCTTGGGGAATAGCCGCCTACTCATTTGACATATAACCTTTTCTGACATAATAGAGTTGAACATGCTACTGTGGGGAGACACCTGTCTCCGATCACACCCACAGCCCAATTAATACTATAACACAAGGCTGAAAAGAGAGCTAAAAAAGAATATATTTCCACATGCAATAAACCTACTAACTTACTCATCAGGAATATATTTTGTATCATTCCCAAATGATACAATGTAATTTATTGTATCATTTATATCCAAATATTTCTATGACATAGAGGGTAATTTTTAAGAAAATGTTTTGCATAAAATTAAGTCGATTCATAGCAAGATGAAACATTAGTTTGTGTCATTCTGTTCCACACAGTGAACATATTTATATTTCAAATATAAGATTAAATCTAAAGTTAGAGAGTGAAAGCTAAAGGTCTCACCGCCCATGTCTGGTTCTCTGAAGAATCTCCTCCAACGGGAGCCTCCACAGGTGTAGACCACAGCCCTCAGAAACTCCCGACCACACAGCTTCACTGCCTGCATTTCTGCTCTTGCCTGGTCCGCACAAACCACTACGCAGAACAGCAGAGCCAAAACCGCCAGCAGACGCATACTGGATGACTTCCGAACCCCCTGTAGATGCTCTGCTGTTTTCTCTTTCTTCCTCGTGTTCTTCAGGAGTCTCTTGCAGCCTGCAACTCCTTCAGCGATCTTCTGCATTCATCCTTGTTCATTATATACCATCCACCTGATCATCCAATGACCTCATCATCTCTCCACCCCCGCCATTCCAACTTGCCCTTAGCCCATCCCAGTGACACGTAAACACATGCATGCATACTCTTTATGTTTCCGGTTATCTTCATGATCACCACTTCCCGCCATCTAAAACAGACTTACAACCTCCAGCCTTTTACGACCCTCTGCTTAAATGATGTGCAGTCTCGTCAGGCTTCCTTGGATTACCTAATTTAAGGCCGAAATTGCACTGACCTTCGCAATACTGGCCAATCATAGGAACCCAACCGAATCCCTCCTGGAGTCAAACAGGTGTTTTCTGTCTTTATAACTCTCTGATGGCCAGGTTGTCTTTCCCTTTACAACTGTTTTGGTCTCATGAGAGGAAAAAAATCAATGTTTACTATTCATCATGGAGTCATTATGGTGCGGATGATGGAAAGATAAGATACTTGGTGTGACATCTCTGTCTCGATCATTAGTTCAGGTCCCACTTACGACCTTTCTGAAAAAAATATATTTCACTTAAAAACAAGTTATTTAAACATTAACACAGTGCAGATTTTCTGTTGTTTATCCTGGCGGTAGTTGTTGTCATTACTGTACAATAAGCTTTACTAAATCTTGAGCCAACAAATCTCATCTGACTGAAGCTAAGAATTTGCACTAATAAAATTAATTCAACTTGTGCTCAATAGTTGCATATGCATATCCCCTGTTTGGAAGGAAATTGAATAAAAAAAACACCCTCTGTACACATAAAAAAAATCATTTTACTTGATTATGTAATGAAAATTAATACTGTTTCCAGCTGTTGTGCAATAAAGAAGTGCCTTAATAATTAAAATCTTATCAAAAGCTGAGACTATAACAGTGTTAATGACATTCTTTGAAGTCCACAAACAAGCAACCACATTCTGCCTTTATTGCCTTTATTAGCATTGTGGTTCTACACTAATCCTTTCAAATTGAAAGTGTTTTTAGGTTTTCCTGTATTTGCCTTCATTCTCCAGACCCCCAGGTAAGTGTCCAGATGGTAGTTTGTACTGTGTTAATCCTAACTCTTGTTAAAATGGAAGGGTCCCTTTCCACTGTCACCACATGCTTGGGATAAGGATCTGCTGCAAATTCAACTCGTCTATGAGATTAATTATACATTCTTATCACTTTTTGTGAATCTGCATTTTGGGAATGACTGAATTTGCCAGTTTGATTGCCTTGAATTGTGTGTAAACAGAATTAATTCTGAATAGATAGCTGGCTCTGAATGAATTTAATTGACTTCTAAACCAAATTGATTTATATCTAACAGGACATGAATTAAACTTTTTTTCTTTCATAAATTAACTTGAGATGACTTTTGCTGTGAAATTCCAATGCACAACTAAACTAAACTCAACTGAAAATACTATTCCAACAGTTATTGCAGGTTGCCTGTTGGAAACAAACTTCACCTATTCTTGACTTTTAGTGCTGATAATGGTAACCTATTAAAGTGAAATAAAAGACAGGCACACACTTGACTAAACCTCAAGTTTCTGATACAATTCCCTAAACAAACCACATCTCATGTTTGCGGTGGAGCCAAACAGCCATTATAAGGAAAAGCAACTCTATGTGTTTTCTAGTACACTTTTATTTGTCAAAGGTAACTTTAAGTCGTTGTGATCATCAAAATCTTTAAACTTGCCTTGCTGCTGCTGATCAGTTTAAGACAAAACATGACGATGTGAAGTTTGGAGATAACATCTGTCCTAATGGGATTGTTCATATCTCACAGAGACATTCAGTCGCCCTTTTTGTCCTGGAACAATAGAGAGAGATGCAGAGCAAATGGATGGAACAGACACAAACCTAATTGGTTCAGAAGGACATCAACTTGAGTAGCTTTTGTCTGAAACTCCCAGGCAGTAAGATGACTTTCACAGAGTTCACCTGGAGGAGAAATGGAGCCAGAGAGAGACACTAAGCTCTGCCACGTGAGCTGGCTGTCCAGTGCTTGTGTGGGAGGAGATTCACTTCGACCTTCTTGTGTTCATTCTTGTATTTTTGGTCATTTTCCTCCCTTTTTTCAGGTTCACTCCCAGCTGGACCAGGTTCTACTAAAACACCTGGTTCTCATGTCACTCAGTCATTTTTGTAGTCACATATCATATTCACATTCTGAAAACCCCTATTTTATCAAATATCTAAGTAAAATAAATGTTTTTTTATGCAACATGTGCTTATGAAGACAGCGTGAGTCAAAGACAAAGCAAAGTCATGTCAATATTTTCAGTGGCTCGTTAAGTTTTTTTTTTTTTTTTTTTTACCAGCACATTGAGTCTTTATCACTTCCACTGCCTCACATTCACTCTTCTCTTTGACAATAAATGTTTCCTGTTTTCAGCTCATAAACCTAAAATTGACAACTGACAGAATGTACCCATAAAATAAGATGGTCCACATACATTTAAGTATTTCAGTGACAAAAAGAATATAACTCTGTTGGCTCTATAGTGGAACCCTACTCTTACGATCTTGAAAAACCTGGAAAAAACAATCATATTTTAATCAAAAATGCCACAAAGAAACACTTTAAAGCAAGGGTGAATTATTTCATAATTGGTTACTGTTGTAGGTTTTTATGGTACAAAGCACGTTGAACTGCCTTGTTGCTGAAATGTGCTATTCAAATAAACTTAATTTACAGCTGATGTCAGACTTTTTGTTTGATTTGGAAAAGTTTTCTGCTTGAATTTGTACTTTTATTGTGCTATTATTATTATTATTTTTTTTTTTTACTTCCCGTTCTAGTTCTAGTTCTAGTACAAATTCTAGAATGTGCACAAAGTTGTATATGTTTAATATATGTAAATTAATATCGTAAAATGTTTTTTCACAGGAGCTACTTGTACTTGAAGTTACAATTTGAAAGCTCGTTGAATCCTTAGCTGTTATTCTGTCTGTGGTTCTCCGGGCCTCTAGGTGGCGATGTTGGTGTGTGAGAGAAGGAAGTGAACAGAAAAAGACAGCAGGGCGTCTTGACAAGGACTGTCCTGTTTTTGGACTTGCTGGAGAAAATGTCACTTATCTTCCACTGATTCTGATGTTCATAACGCAGTGTGTCTGTCTGAAGGTGAGTTTCACTTTCTGTTCTTGCGTTTCTGAAGATATTTTAAGCTCTTTTGAGAAGCAAATTTTTGTCTTGCTAAGTTGTTACTTGGATGTAAAGGAATATAAAATAGAGCTCTGATTTCGATCACCTTCTATGATTTTCTGCAGCATCACTGTTGTGATTCATCACTTTAAGCATGCGATCCATATCAGAAAAACAATTATGGGGCATTTCGCTAATTCTGATCCCATTTTTGCCTTTACGTTGCTTCATTCATAGTTTCAGTTCGCACCCTTAATCAACCCTTTGCGTCCTTAAACCACGCAGCAATTCGTTATGTTGCAACTTGACCATTTTGTACATTTGTAGTTTAGTGGTTTTGTACCAGCTGCACAGTACATCGCATCAAAATAGGCATGGATGTCGTTAAGAACCATTTAGTTTTGATCTGGTCTTGTCATTTCTCCTTTTTGCCATGTTTACCTGCAGACAGCATTTCGTACCTGTGCTTAACTTGGCATCAAATTTATTTAGTATTTTTTAGAATTTTGGAGATTTGTGTTCATAAATATTCTGGCCTTTCGTGTAAAATTGCCAATAATTTAGTAGTGTGCAAGGTGAAAACTTTGTACATACGTTTTAGATATATTTGTAGTGATTCCTTTAGGGCCTTTTTGACCTCTATAAAATATGTCAGCTCATGATCCCTGATGAGACCAAAATAACTTTTATGAACTTGATATTGTTTACAGTAGTCAAATAACCACATTTCCTCACCACAAACTAGTAATGGGTCATGAGCAATTCTTCTAAAACATTTGTTGTCAAAGTATATATTTATATATTTTCTCTTTCTAATAATCTCTTTGTATTCTGAAAATATGAAAAGAACAAAACAAATTGTTTATTCCTTTTCGCTATAAGTTCTTTTTTTGTCTGAAATAGCAGTGCATGATGGAGCCAGCGGTACGTCAGATTTGGAAGAGAGGCTTTCACAATCTCCACAGACCTCTTATTCTTCATAAGAGAACCCACGCTGGTCAGCCTGAACATGCAGACGTCAGTCACTGCAGACATGTCAAACCTGCGCTGCTGGTGTCTCGTCTCTATCAGCCTTCCAGCCTGCGGGATGTGGGGCAGGAAAGTCGATTGCCGGGGGAGATGACCTGTAAGAGCCAAAGGCTAATGCAGCAAGCAGGGCTCATCCATCCGTCGAATCCAGGGTGCTACTACTACCTTCCCTCTACTGTCCGCTCTATGGAAAAGCTGGTAGGTTTTTACTATTGAGGTGGTGAATTACGTCAGTGTTTTTAAACTGGTCTTCAAAGTTCACAATACCACTCAACAGGTTATTAATTTTTGGTAAATGTTTTTTCGGAGAACATAATCACTTAAGTGTAAGAAGCTGTTTAAATATGTTTTATATTGTTTTGTATCCTTGTTTTATGGAAAAAAGTTTTCTCCCTAATGTTCTTGTTTCTACCTCTACATGGATACGAAATCCTAAATGGATCTTAGCAAAAGTTTTTTTTTTTCACTTCAGTTATGTATATATAAAGCTGTGGTGTTAAATCAACAGGTAAGGGTGATTGACCAGGAAATGCAGGGGATTGGTGGACAGAAGTTAGACATGCCCAGTTTGTGCTCAGCTGATCTCTGGAAAACCAGTGAGCGCTGGGATCTAATGGGAAAGGAGCTGTTCCGTTTGAAGGACCGTCACGGTGCAGACTATTGCTTGGGTCCCACACATGAGGAGGCCGTAACAACTCTCGTCGCTCACCAGACGACCCTCTCCTACAGACAACTCCCTTTACTTCTTTACCAAGTAAGTATTCAGAGTATATCTGTTTTGGTTTTGTTGTGGTGTGAAGCTCTTTTTTTATTT